TGCTCATAAACCAGTGTATTGTTGTCTTAAAAGGTTGTCTAGTCAACTGTAATAAACTTAATTGACTGGAACTGCCTAAAATAAATGGTTTAATTTGTATAATGCACTTAGAAGCTTCCTAGATGAGGCAAAGTAAACTATAAATAATTATTTTATCTATATCACACACAAAAATTCCACACTGGCTAATTAATATTGCAGTGTGTAGAAACACTCCTTCAGTTTGTCTAGCAAATGGGGGCAGCGTGACTTCGCTCTAGTGGGTAATTTTATTATAAAGTGGGCATCTGCTGGTTGCAACTCAGGATATGGGTAATTTGCACAGTATGGAGTAATGGTTTAAGGAGTGAGGGTCACCTTGATCCAGCTTTGATGCCTGACCATGTCCTTTTACCCTGTTAATGTTTAAACCACACCTTTCTGTCATTTTATTTCTACTTTCCTTTCTATTATTGATGGCTTAGAACAAGTAGTACATTCTCATTAGTTTGTACCATGAACATGTTCTGTCCTGTTCTTCCAGTCAGATCATGGCTTCAGTAATGGAGAAACTGATCACTCCTTTGGCCAGCGGCCCAGCTGAGCCTCCCAGGAACAAAGTCACAATTGTTGGCGTGGGACAGGTGGGCATGGCGTGTGCTGTCAGCGTCCTGCTTAGGGTAAGAGACTCACTCGCATATGTTTTTACTTTGAATTTTGGTGGCATTCATGCCTTGAATATACAATGTTTATAAATACTTTAGTTTGTGGTCCCATTAACTGTAGCTTTGCAGGCAAAATCCAGTCATTTCAATAGGAATCAATGCAATTGCATTTTGCCCGCTAAATTTCTCTGTGACCGCACCTTACTATGAAAATTGTCATGCATTTAAAGTAATGTTTCCTGTCTTGTAGGAGCTTACAGATGAACTGGCTCTGGTGGATGTTGTGGAGGATAGACTGAGAGGAGAGATGTTGGATTTGCAACATGGCAGCCTTTTCCTCAAGACCCCTAAGATTGTGGCTGACAAGGGTGGGATGCACTTTCATGAGCCTCACTCCAATAAAATGATTAGATTTTTAGCTTGTATATTAATATACATCAAGTTCTCGTGATCAATGTTTTGCATCCAAATAGGTACTTGTCAAGAGTGTAGTGATGTTTGAAGCAGAAGTTATTCAAACAGTTGGTCAACAGCATATCCGTGTAACCAACCTGAACCCATAATGAATCTTATTGAAATTGCTAGATTTCACTTGGAAAAAATTGCTGAAATTTTTGAAAATTGAAATTTTTAAGTGGCAGTGTATTTATTTATTTTTGATAGACTACTCTGTGACCGCTAACTCTCGTATCGTGGTGGTGACGGCCGGAGTGCGTCAACAGGAGGGTGAGAGCAGACTGAACCTGGTGCAGAGGAACGTCAACATTTTCAAACACATCATCCCTCAGATTGTCAAATACAGTCCTGACTGCATCCTTGTTGTGGTGTCTAATCCAGGTGAGCAAATGAACTCAAAACATGCTTAATTTGAATGTTTCGGGTACCTGTAGTGTATCTGTATTAACTGTGATTGTCCGTTTTCATCCAGTGGATGTTCTGACCTACGTGACCTGGAAGCTGAGCGGCCTGCCAAAGCACCGTGTCATTGGTAGCGGGACCAACCTGGACTCCGCCCGCTTCCGTTACATCATGGCCGAGAAACTGGGCATCCACTCCAGCAGCTTTAACGGCTACATCCTGGGAGAGCACGGAGACTCCAGCGGTGAGAGAGGGAGAGGAAAGATGTAACTGGGAGATAATGAAGGGCTGGCAGAAAGAATAAGATTGATTGCACAATATCAACTGCTGCACGATGTGGCATGTTTTCAGTCAATCACAGCATTTTTGATTTGAAGTTGTGGTTTTGTTTAACAGTGCCTGTATGGAGTGGAACAAATGTGGCGGGAGTCAGCCTGCAGAAACTCAACCCTGACATTGGCACAGATAAAGACAAGGAGAACTGGAAGGAAGCTCACAAGATGGTTGTGGACAGGTACAGGACGTCTTGTTTCATGGGCAATTGGAAATCTGGATTGAGTTTTTAGTAAACCACAGCACTGTTGAAAAGGTTTCATTTTCACAAGTTAGAATAAAATAGATTTCAGCCAGAATAATACCAAAATTACACAATTTGGTAACACTTTACAATAAGGTTCATTAGTTAACATTAGTAAATGCATTAACTAACGATGAGCAATGCATTAGTTGCAGTGTTTGTTAATCTTTGTTAATGTTAGTTAATGGGCTATATGCACGCATAAGTTCCGCATTTGACGTAAGGATGCTCGTCCATTTCCGGTTGTGTAGATTGAAGCGGAGGAAAACCGGAGAAAACGGGATTATGGCAGAGTCTTCAATATTTACTGTTCTCCCGTCTTTGAAACGAAACGTACATACGTTTAGATGTAATTTTATATATAGTTATGTTTATTTAATATAATTTTAAAAAGAAGCATAAACACAACGAGGGGTGTCTGTTTTATCTGTTTTTGTGACTAACGTTTCATTAGTATAACCATGGAGTATAAAATTCAATATAAATTCTCGGTATTGCATTGGACTCTATTATCGGCGGAAGTTATCGAGCATCCTTAATCCTTCACCGGAAATAACGCCGTGCATAGAGCCCATACAAATACAGCTGTTCATTGTGTGTTAATGTTAGTTCACAGTCCATTAACTAATACAACCTTTGATTTTAATAATGTATTAGTAAATGTTGGAATTAATATTAACTAAGATTAATAAATGCTGAAGAAGTATTGTTCACATATTGTACATGTTAACTAATGAACCTTATTGTGAAGTGTTACCCACAATTTTAATGTTTGTCAAACCCATATTCTGTTGGCTTTTTAACAAAAGGAGGATTTGTAGTAGTTTTCTACACAAAACGGTTCATCTGTGTAAGACAGGAATGGCATGTTTGAAGTTTCAAAATAAAATGAATAAAGACAAAGTGGTGTTTGGAATTACATGACTAAGTAATGATAAAGTAAATATCCAATGTTAATTAGTTGCTCCTACCTTCTCTTAGTGCTTACGAAGTGATCAAGCTGAAGGGATACACTAACTGGGCCATCGGCCTCAGCGTGGCAGACCTGACCGAGACCCTGGTGAAGAATCTGAACCGGGTCCACCCTGTCTCCACCATGGTGAAGGTGAGGGGAGTTTACACCGTTTATCATGGTGTAGTCATACACTTTCATATCCCAGAACTACACATAATGAATCAAGGTGTTGAAGTGATCACTTCACGTGTTGCTTGTCGTCTGCAGGGCATGTATGGAATCAGCGAGGAGGTGTACCTGAGTCTGCCCTGTGTGCTCAACAGCAGCGGCGTGGGCAGCGTCATCAACATGACCCTGACTGACGAAGAAATCGCTCAGCTGAAGAAGAGTGGCGACACTCTGTGGGGCATCCAAAAAGACCTCAAGGACCTGTAGGTCAATTGTGGGACGCCACACTCTTTCACTCTCCACACTCCCTTAGTGTCTTTACATACTTTCTAACTATGTCAGCCCTTTCGTCTCACTTGCTTTTGGATATGGTTGCTTTGAAGTAGTTTTTCAATGGTGGTTAATGTAAGCATAATCTAAAATATGAAATCATTCTTCTAAAGCGAATGATCAAAGGGGAACATCTTTGCACTTAAGTCGTAGGCCATAAAGAAAGAACCAACACCCCTCTTGTCTGGACCTAATTTAGTGAGATCATTAGGGAACATACTGTTTAAGTCAAGAGGAGAAGGGAATGAAGTGAGGTAGATGCAAATCTATTCATTCTGAATTATTTTGTAAGTGTTGGTCATTAGTGTATGTGTATAAGATGACGTTAATAAAATAATGAAATCTGTCTTGGCTGTTTTTGTGATCTTATTGAGGCAAGTTGCACTTTACGGTGGTAAACCTTTATTTTATTAAAAACAAGCCGTATGAATTATCCAGTGACTTGAAATAAAGAGGCTAATTTTATTTGATTTTCTCGCACCTAAACGTTTTCAAGATAAACTTTTTTTTTTTTAATTGGTGACGATTCATAATACAAAAATTACTTTGTTAAGGTTCAATCTTTAAAGGAACAAAAGGCTTTTAACAGTGAACAACTAGGCATATTCTGTTTACAACCAGGCGAATATACGTTACTTGTAAACTAAACTTCGAAAACACTTTCTGATAAAAATATTCGACATTTTATACCTTCTGTCTGCTTCAAAACCTTTATTAGGGTGCCAAATTAGCACTCTGCACTGCAAAAAAAAAAAAAAAAAACATTTAGGACTTGTCTCGTTTCCGGTCCAAATGTCTAAATTCCTAAATCAATGTCCATTTAGGTAAGTAGCCTACATGTCCTGTTTTCTGGTGGAGTTCATGAATCATCAATATTAGGTAGTGAGTTTGCTTAAAAAAAGCTAAATTATCTACCAACTGGATTTGAATAATCAATTCAAACAGTCAACATTATTTCTACCCCTTTGGCAGATAATTGTGCTTGTTTTAAGCAAAAACCCATAATGCATCTTGATTTAAAGAAAAGTTTGATATTTGGACTGGAAACGAGAAAAATAAGCGTTTTGTGCAGTGTGTCCACAATTACAATGCAAAAGCCATCAAACAATATAAATCGTTTATTGCACAAATACAATACCTCAATGAAACAATGCGCTTTAAAATCCCATGATTAAGAAATAAAAGCATAACAGGCAAAGCGTGCCTGAAATAATTACCCACAGTTTTCAACCAAGCAAACCACATCATCCTTCCCAATGATGAAGAGTGATTTTCACGAAGTTACTAATTGTTTCCTCAGGTGAAGTATCATTGGCAGCAGGTGTTCGTGTTTGTGTCTGTCAGAGTCAGTTGCAGCTTCGCTTCGCTTCCCAAAACGCAGCCCAAACGGATTGTAGTTGAATTTACTGCGTGTTAATCGATGTTTGCAGGAAATTTTACTCGAGTCATCTTTTTCTTGGATGAAAACGCAAAGGCTTCCGTCGTCCGAAGCGTTTGGCTCCTCAAATTGCCTCCGCTCCATTGAGAGATAGTGCTGCTTCTGATTGGAGTCTGTAAAGTAAGATATCCTTTTCATTACACTTTTTAACAAGCTTTATTAATCATGTATTTGGATTAAAATTCATCACCTTACCTGGACTGGCTTCAGGTGTATCCATGTCAGTGAATTGTGCCCTCATAGCTGTGGACTGACAGATCATTGCTGACAGGAAGAGAATCAGTGCCTTGATTTTCATACTGCTGAATTGTGAAGCTTACAGCTGAGGCTTTCTTTCTTCAGTGAACAAACCCATGCTCTGCTGTCCTCCTTCAATATAAAGCTTGGCTGGTGACATCCTCTGACCTTATTTTACATAATGTCTTTGAAAAAAAAAAATAGGACCTCCCTGTTGCCTCATCCAGAGCATTTCAACTGTAAAAAATGTTAGGTTTTTCTTCTTCTTCTTGGAAATGCTGTGGTAAACTGTACACTGAAGTCGATTATTGAAATAGCTGCTGAAATTTTGCCTCCGAAGCCCACCAAAAGCACATTATGTGTTTGTAGACACATCACACATTTTAATTTGTTTTCTCTCATTCTGTGCCAGAGAACAACATGATATGAAAGTAAAATAAGGGTTTTGTAGCAGGAAAACATGAATGGAGCCACAATAATCTTGTACAATCATGGTCAATTACTGTTTGTGAGAAAAATTTATGGTAAACTTTCATTGTTATCTTTCCTTCAGCATGGTAATAAGGTGATACCTGGATATCATAACTACAAGAATGTTCCTGCCATAAAGAGTCGTTTAGCGGCATGTGAGTATGAATTATGCAAAGGTCGGATGGTTTTTATTTGTGATGGACCACTGATAAAAGCTTTTTACTCTTAGCCTTCAGTGTTGTTCTTGTTTTGTGAGGCTACAAACATCCTAAATGTAAATATATAAAAATTATTGAAAGTGAAAATGTCATTTTTAAATGGTTACAATAGACTTTTGAACACTCGTAGGGACTGTTTCTCTGGTAATAAAACTGATCATCATGCAGCGAAAGTTATACAATGGTTTTAAGTTTAAGATGTTGTTGACATTCTGCAAAAATATCTATCTATCTATCTATCTATCTATCTATCTATCTATCTATCTATCTATCTATCTATCTATCTATCTATCTATCTATCTATCTATCTATCTATCTATCTATCTATCTATCTATCTATCTATATCCATCCATCCATCCATCCATCTATGGACAAAGACTCTCCTGAAAGTGCATTTTCTTCTTAAAACTAAATAGCAAATGTTGTTCAGCAGTTAAACGTCAAACACGAGTAGACCTGCGTCATAACTTGTATTTACTTTTTTCTGTTTTTCTCAGAATCATGCTGACTGATGTGGTAAAAATGCTATTTGTTTTACTAGTAGGCTATAAGATGGCCCTAAAGATGAATATAGCAGTACTATATGGGTGCGTGTGCACGTATCGTCCCGGGTCAGAGGGGTACTTGATGTCTGTGGACTTTAGACACAGTGTGCACATGCAGATTTTTTTAGACTTCACTAAAGGTTAGAGGAATAGATCGAGCAGCAGCTCACATTGAGCTGAAGTGTCTCCAGGTGCTCCATTACCTAAAAGAGAACCACAATTTGGCGTCCCAGTGGCTCTTTAGATGGTTTTAGGTTATTTTTTTACCACATAATTGTAATTCAGGCCCTTTGCATTTGCAGCTCCAGTTGACGGATAAAAACGATTTCTAAGAGTTTGTGAGATGCGACTGTCCAGATCTTTGTCAATAACATCATTAAGTGGACTTCCACAATGGGAAGAGGAAAGTCTACCTGTGGAAGATCTCCTGCTCTTTGAGGTCGCCTGGGAAGTAACTAATAAGGGTAAGAACTTACAATTTGTATATTTTCATTGTGCACTTTCTTTTAATTTTAGAGTGCATTTATATGTGCATTTATAGGTATACCGGTAAAAATAATAATATTTTTTGAAAGGCTTATTTAATTTGACACCTAAAATGCTAGGAATGAGATTAGCCTTTGTCATAAATGCTTATGCTTTATTTTGATGGTCCCCTTTGTTGCACCTACATGTCAACTCGGTAGTAAGGTTAGGTGTTAGTGGAATAGGTTGACATGTAGTTGTAAAGTTACTTATAGTTAGTAGAATGTCTGTTGGGGACCCTTCAAAATAAAATGTTAGAATAAGCAGACAGTCTACTAATACTCTAATGAGAGTTAGTTTACATGTCTAGGCCCTATAGGTGCAACGTTATTATATTCAACAAAATGTTCAAAAGGGACCATTTAAATAAAGTGTTTCCTCACAAATATTTAATTCCGTCCCCTTAATTTCCACTGCATAATACTAATCTTTTTATGTGCTGGAAATATAATGTAATGTGTTCATGATGGTTCAGGAAGGACTTAAAATTTACCTCAGAGCATGTCTGTTGTTCACAAATTAAAAATGTTTCTAAAATTGATTTAGGCTAAAATACTCAAAGCTGAAGTATTAAGCTCACTTCACAGTTATCTACTACATTACCAAGCATACATGCTTTTTTTAAATTTCTTGCATAACCTTAGCAAGGAGGTAGTGTGTTTTTACCCTGAAAGTGTACACGTTTGACCTCAAGATTGTTCACCCCTTTATCAGAAGACTTGAAAACAGTTCAACAAGACAGAGCTGTCATTTAGTTAATGCATGTGAGCAGCATACACCTTTGTATCAGTGTGGACGTGTAGGTTAAAAATTAAGCTCCAGATCAATAACCAGATTTTGAGAATTCTTTTTTGTATGGATCGTTTTAGAACACAGGGTTTCAATCTTTTAAATCCAAATATGATCATCCTCATGCGAGGGGATCCATCCTAAAATTTAAAAGGCAGTTTTATATATATATATATATATATATATATATATAGGATATATAAAATCCCAATTAATACTGTGGAAAAATTAATAATAATAAAAATGTGTCAATTAATTTACTTTCTGTTTTTTTTCTGTAGGACTGTGCTGAATGTATTCTTTAAATTACATTAATTTATTTTATATTTATATTTTTCAAATTTAATTAGTTGAACTCTTTTATTAATTAATACATTTATATATTTTTTACACTGCTTTTCTCTAAACTAAATTTGAAAACCCCTGTTTATTATATTATTATGTACATATCATACTAAATGTAATCTTATTTTTACAAAATGCCTTTTAAAACGATATTATGTCCAGATGTATCCATTTAAAGAGATAGTTCACCCAAAAATGAAAATTCTGTCATCATTTACTCAATTTTTCCAAACCTGTTTGAGTTTCTTAGTTCTGTTGATCACAAAAGAAGAGATTTTGAAGAATTTCGGTAACCAAACAGTTGAACCATTAACTTCCATAGTCATTTTTTTTTCAGTCAATGTCAACTGTTATAAAGAAGAGAATATCATCATTTGTTTTCAACTGAATTAAGAAACACATACAGGTTTAGAACAACTTGAAAGTGAGTAAATTAATTTTCATGTTTAGGGAACTATCCCTTTAAGTTTTATTTTGAAAAAAATGTTCTTATTTAGTGAATTTTCTCATTCATAAATGTTTTGTTCCCTACACTATGTGTATCTCCAGTGGGGGGATATATACTGTTATTCAGACTAAAGCAAAAATCACCGTGGATGAATGGGGTGAGAACTACTTTATGATGGGACCCTACTACGAACACAACTTCAAGACCCAGGTGGAGAAATGTGAACCTCCAAGCCAAGCCATCAAAGCCGCCATGGACTCCTTGAGTAACAACGGTTGCCAGGTATTGCATATACAGTCATTGGTATCCTATCAGGATGCCCACATAACACATACTGTATATAGGCACTGGACAGGTTTATTGTGGGTTTAGTCATTTGTCCAATTAACAAATGTTTAAAAGCTGATCGAGCGTCACGCCTGCTGTATGCTGTATTAGAATCATATGACAATATTAAAATTTAGACAGAAAATAAAGCGGCTCTTAAATGTATTCAACAGCGTATTAGTCTCATTCTGACCAGAAGATGATGCTAGAGGATCCCTGTAAGGGGAAACAGATAAAATATCCTTTTTGAGTTTAACAGCACCAGCATAGGCACTAAAATAAAAAATATATATATATATATATGAACATAAAAAAATGTCTTGGATAATTTGATAGATTCCAACAAGAATAGAAATAAGTGGGATCTTCGTATTGTTGCCTTATGTCATCATGGTATATTTGCCTATTTTGATGATATTGCCTTCACTTTCTCTCTGCATGCAGGTTCACTTTGGCCGCTGGTTGATTGAGGGCAGCCCGTACGTCATCCTCTTTGATATTGGGGCAGCTGCCTGGAACCTGGACCGCTGGAAGGGGGATCTGTGGGACACATGCAGCATCGGGCTACCCTATCACGACAGGGAGGCCAACGACTCGCTCATCTTTGGTTCTCTTGTGGCCTGGTTCTTCAAGGAGGTAAACTTTACACTAACAACCTTCTGAGTGAGCTTGCCTGGATTTTTAACAGTGTGTTAAGTTTGATGTAAACATTGGGATTAATCTCCTTCTGCAGTTAACAGACCAACTTCAGGACAATCCCAACGTAATCGCTCATTTCCACGAATGGCAGGCTGGAACAGGACTTGTACTGAGCCGCTCCCGCAAGATTCCCATGGCAACCATTTTTACCACACATGCCACCCTACTGGGGCGGTACTTGTGCGCTGGTAATGCAGACTTCTACAACAACCTGGACAAGGTGAGGATATTTTTCACACTGTGGATCAGAGATTCTCGACCTTTTTGACTTTAAGGCCCTTCGTTGTCCAACACAATATTCTAAGGCCCCCTACATAATATAATATATTATACATATAATATTTTATGCCAAATTTATTGAGTCCCCAGTTGGGGTTAGGATTAGGCAACCAGGTTGCAGCCTTAATGAGGGCCTTAATAGTTTGTCAGCGAGTTAAAATTCGGCACAACATCGGTGTGGTGCGAGTTTACAGCTGAAACTGATGTATAGGGAGGTGTGATCACATGGGCCCCAAGGCTACAGTTTAGGTTAGCCTATGCGTTAATCCGCCCCAATACACACACACACAAACATACACTGCCGTTCAAAAGTTTATGCACGGTAAGATTTTTAGAAATGTTTTTGAAAGTCTCTTCTACTCACCAAGGCTGCATTTATTTGATCAAAATACTGTAAAAACAGTGAAATATTATTACAGTATAAACAGTAATATATTTTAAAATTACATTTATTCCTGTGACGACAAAGCTGTATTTTCAGCACCATTACTGCAGTGTCACATGAATGATCCTTCAGAAATCATTTTGATATGCTGATTTGCTGCTCATGAAACATTTCTTATTATTATCAATGTTGAAAACAATTAATTTATTTATGTGAAACCAGTGACATATTTTCTAAAGTTCAAAAGAACAGTGTTTATTTGAAATAGAAATCTTTTGTAACATTATAAATCTCATTACCCTCACTTTTGATCAATGTAATGCATCCTTGCTGAATAAAAGTTATAAAACTTCATTAGTGACCCCAAAATTTGGAATGGTAGTGTGTGTGTATTCTGTAAACCTTATCCTTGTAACACAGTGTCTGTATAAATAAACATTAAAATGTGGTTCTACCAACATGTGCATTATCATTCAAACAAACTTTTAATTTACACCTATTTTTACAATGCATCATAATAATAAACCTACAAAAAAAGTGTGCCCCACAGAAATCAATCAGGTTAGTTGGTGTAGTGAACACTTATTAGAGGTGAAACTGAGCAAGTGAGAGTGCATGTAGACTGCAGTGATAATTGGGGCTGGAAAGGTCATCATGCCTGAAGGTTGACTGAAGAATAATTGACAGCATCTTATGATTTACCGACTGATGCTATCGCCTTTTGGCCCCAGAGAGACTTCCTATACCTGCTGATGGGGGGAAGCTCTGACACTTTTTAAAATTACTGTTGCATTATTTATGAAAAATGGTAGAATCAGACTCATTATAAGGATTGTGACTAAAAGTTTATTATTATAAAAATAAGAGTTTCCAAAAAATCAAAAGTGACCATAGTCTCCCCATTTTAAACTGTTAATTTAATCTAATTTTATTTCCGATTCCACGAAGTTTAACGTAGACCAAGAGGCAGGAGAGAGGCAGATCTACCATCGCTACTGTTTGGAGAGGGCTGCTGTACACTCCGCGCATGTCTTCACCACCGTGTCGCAGATTACAGCTGTGGAGGCCAATCACATTCTCCATAGACAGCCAGGTATTACAAAGCCTCTCATCTGCCGCATAATTAACCTCTGATTAGATGATTTTGAAAATATCATGTTTGTATGCACTGTCCTTGTAGATGTGGTCACCCCAAACGGCCTGAATGTTAGGAAGTTCTCAGCCATGCATGAGTTCCAGAACCTGCACTCCATGAACAAATCCAAAATCCAGGAGTTTGTAAGAGGTCACTTCTATGGGTTAGATCTCTTTTCTGTCTGCACAATAACACACACACTTGGAAAAAAATACTAATAATTAAATATATATATTGGTGCTTATCTTTTAAAAATATCTCTTCTCAATGGCAGCTATCTGGACTTCAATCTGGAAAAGACCCTGTTCTTTTTCATCGCAGGACGATATGAGTTTTCAAATAAAGGAGCAGACCTGTTCCTCGAATCTCTGTCCAGATTAAACTACTTGCTAAGGGTATGAGCAGTCACTGCTGTACTTATAGTTTCTTAAATAAAATACATTTATCTAGTTTAAGCATACTAGTCAAAGCAATTGTATGTTTGTGTTCTGGCTAACAGGTTCATAAGAGTGACGTTACAGTGGTTGTGTTCTTTATCATGCCTGCCAAAACCAACAACTTCAATGTGGAGTCTCTTAAAGGACAGGCTGTACGCAAGCAAATGTGGTGCGTAACTGCTTGAGTATATAACCTTCATTACTAGTCTTAATCAATTAAACAGTCAAAGATTCAAAACTATCGAACAGGAAACCAGCGAGCGCTCAGAAATGCAGTGTAGCATAGCATACAAGACTTTGCAATAAGTGACTGAGTTAACCAGGTTTATATATGCAGGGGGCTGAATCCGAAATCCCCCCTAAACCCTCAATCACTATTCCCTATGTTAGTCCACCTAAACAGTTCACTTAAGGGAGTAATGGAAAACGGGTGATCGAATTCGGACAGCCTTTGAGCTACACACTCGTTATGCAATGTGGGATTGAATAAGTGCACTCAATAACGTCTGTTATGGTTTCGGACACCACTTCAACTGGCTGTCCCCTCAAATAAAACACTATTTGAGGGTGTAGGGGGCGTTTTTGGATTATAATCAGGGATAATGAGCCTGGGCAATGGATTCTGGGAAATGCAGTTCATGGTGGAATGACAATGGTCTGGGGAGGATGCTCTCTGGTGGATATCCTGGTTTTTATTTATTTTACTCATGGGTCTAGAGTTAATTTTAGATCTCAATTTCTAGTTTCCCTGATGCTGGATCAGATTTCTCACTAGATATACTTGGGCAATAAAATGAAATGGCTTTTTCTTTTCAGATGGCTTTAGTGTACAAGACTTCTCCAAAATATTTTTCTTCTGTCTCTTAGGGACACAGCTCAATCGGTGAAGGAGAAGTTTGGCAAAAAGCTTTACGAGGGCTTGTTGAGGTTGGTTCCACTCTCTGTAAACACTCCCTTGTACAGACTTGGAAAAACAGGGCTCAAAATTAATGTGACCGTAAATGTTGTCAGTATGTGATGATGAAGAGTGATGATCATCTGATGTCATAAACTGGAGTGGATGAGTAACCTTCAAGTTGATATTTCACAGTGTCTACCAAGTGTTGATGAGAATACACTGCACTTCCCCTGGGAGTTGTCAGATTATAAGATATTTATATTGGCATTGTGTGATGTCAATAGGTCATTTCCCATGTGTGATCATGGAGCAAGAAAGTGTGTGTGTGTTTGTAGGATCTCGTCTAATGAAGTTCTCCTGTGTTCACAGGGGTGAGATCCCAGACATGAGCAAAATCCTGGACAGAGATGATTTCACAATCATGAAGAGGGCCATTTATGCAACACAGGTCAGACAAAATGTTGCACAATTCTTTCATCACAAGAGGCCACAATGAAAAATAACCAAGTGAATCCTTTAACCATATTACTGTGATATATGTATATACTCACCTAAAGGATTATTAGAAACACCTGTTCAATTTCGTATTAATGCAATTGTCTAATCAACCAATCACATGGCAGTTGCTTCAATGCATTTAGAGGTGTGGTCCTGATCAAAACAATCTCCTGAACTCCAAACTGTATGTCAAAATTGGAAAGAAAGGGGATTTAAGCAATTTTGAGCGTGGCATGGTTGTTGGTGCCAGACGGGCCGGTCTGAGTATTTCACAATCTGCTCAGTTACTGGGATTTTCACGTATAACCAGTGTTGTAGTACTCGAGACTCGGACTCGGTCTCGAGACCATATTTTAATGGTCTTGGTCTTGTCATGGACTCGTGTCCATTTGGACTCGGAATTGACTCGTACTCAAACATTTTTTTTTTAGGACTCGGACTTATTCCCGAGTCCACTCGAGTTCAATTAAAAATATTTTTCATGATTATTAATGTATGTTAATACAATATTTCTTTAAATTGATTGACACGCCCAGTGATTGGTGATTTTCTAGTGCGCAACTGCGCATGACAAATTGTAATAAAATTACTTTTAACAGCACCTACTATGTGGCCTTTTTACCCTAAACTGATCATATTTTTTAAACTCGAAGTAAATTCAGTAAAAAAAAAAAAAAAAAAAAAGATTTATCTAAGTAAATAAAAGTAAATTAGGTAATCAACCCTCACTGGTCTCGACTCGGATTCGACCGTCTCTGGTCTCGGACTCGACTCTCTCTGGTCTGGGTCTCGACTCGGACTCGAGTGAGGTGGTTTCGACTACAACACTGCGTATAACCATTTCTAGGGTTTACAAAAAATGGTGTGATGCCAGTATGGGCGAAAATGCCTTGTTGATGCTAGAGGTCAGAGAAAAATGGGCTGACTGATTAAAGCTGTTAGAAGAGCAACTTTGACTGAAATAACCACTCGTTACAACCGAGGTATGCATTATCACAAAATAAACTCTTTCAGGATTATCTTTATGTATTAAACTTGTATGTAGTTTTGATTTATTTTATTCCGTAAAATCTAATCTAATATTTATTTCTCTTTTTTTGAGAACATCACTTAATCATATTTTAGGACAAACTACGGGTCTAAAGATGGACGTGAATTAATGAGTAAATGTTTTCAGGGGGGTCTCATTCATTCTCTCCTGCCCTGCATCTGTTTTGCATGAATGGACTGTAATCAAAGGTCAGGCTGAGGATATAGTGAATATCGACATACTAAGCCTCTGTAAATCTGTGGAGGAATCCCCTGCATCATACTGGATTACTGGCGGCAGTGCGGTTTGTGTTACAGGGCTCTGTGACGTATTTAACCTGACTGCCTGCGGTCGATAGATTGAATGTGTTTCCGAGATTTATTCTACAGCGTCTTAATGGCAGTGTTATGAGCAGAACGTCAATATACAGCCACTCCGATTAGATTTATTTGGGTATCAATACTTCGGGGAGCTACCGAAGGAGAGAAATCGATCTGTTAGTGTTGGTGTTTGTTTATAATAAGGAATGAGAGTAGAGTTAAAGTCCACTCACTCTTTTCCTATGACTCAGTCTCTGGAATTTAATAGCAAGAATAATGTATATTAGAAACCATTGAAATGGTGCAAGTAAGTGCAGAGCAGGCAGCCAATTTTGATAGGAAGATAGTTTATAAACTTTGAACCTTGTGATTTTTATTCAACGACTGCTTATGGATCACTGATTTCATGATTTGTTAACCTTTCATACACTTCCGTTGACACTCACCTGCAATTACGTTCATGACATTCATGTCTTTGTCTTTCATAGAGACACTCTCTCCCTCCAGTAACAACTCACAACATGCTGGATGACTCCACAGACCCCATCCTGAGTAACATCCGCCGAATCGGCCTCTTCAATGGACGCAATGACCGAGTGAAGGTGTGCTGTTCACTTTGTCTGACCCCAGTAGATTTAGACAGTAGAGATTCACAGCACGTTTCAGTTTTATCTACTGACCCTAGGTCATAATTATTGCTAAGCCCTGTAAAAGCCTTGGTTGTCTTGAGTTCATGTTAAGTGCATCACATGATGCATTAAAGATGTGTTGGATGGATTGAGTTGTGGCAAATCTTTATAAAAATGTGTGTATGTATGGCCTTGAAGTATTAATTGTCAGTATTTGTCAGATTATTTTCCATCCGGAGTTCCTGTCCTCCACCAGTCCCCTGCTGCCCATGGACTATGAGGAGTTTGTGCGCGGCTGCCATCTGGGAGTGTTTCCATCCTACTATGAACCATGGGGCTACACGCCAGGTTTAGCATTTTAGTACCTTTCACATCTTTGATTTGGTCACAATCTTGCATTCAGCATTTCGTCACTCAACATTAACATAAATATTGACAGCTCGATTTTATACATTAATATGGCTCCAAATCAAAAAACAAAGTAGCAATTGAATATCCACCTTTTTTTCCTGAATGTAGACATTTTGCCTGACTTGTATCAGGATTGGCTTTATATTTCTGATCTCCTGTATTTCTAGTCAAATGAAAATGTAATGTTAAACATATGAAAGGGGTTTGGAAAAGCACATGGCTCCATAGTGCCATCACTTCACAGTGTCGCAATGATCGTCTTTTCTCAGTGCCTCACCCTTCAAAGTGTAATGAGTGCGTAGATGATGAAGCGACCCAAGGTTAGCTACAATGAAAACAGATCGCCGCTCACATTTATGTTATGTTACAGCTCCTGATTGGGGTGAAGTTCGTATATACCATTTTGGAGAGTGTTTTAACTTAAGTGGTGCAAGCCATGCTTGTTTTCTCTTTTCAGTCTTTGGCATAGAATGTGAATGTACACGGACATTATTTTCAGAATTGCTGGTGCTCAAAAAAGTGTTGTAGTCGAGACCAGCTCACTCGAGTCCGAGTCGAGACCGAGACCAAAGAGAGTCGAGTCTAAGTCGAGACCAAAGAGAGTCGAGTCCGAGTCGAGACCGAGACCAAAGAGAGTCGAGTCCGAGTCGAGACCAAAGAGAGTCGAGTCAGAGTCGAGCCCGAGACCAAAGAGAGTCGAGTCCGAGTCGAGACCCGAGACCAAAGAGAGTCGAGTCTGAGTCGAGACCAAAGAGAGTCGAGTCCGAGTCGAGCCCGAGACCAAAGAGAGTCGAGTCCGAGTCAAGCCCGAGACCAAAGAGAGTCGAGTCCGAGTCGAGCCCAAGACCAAAGAGAGTCGAGTCCGAGTCGAGTCCGAGTCAAGCCCGAGACCAAAGAGAGTCGAGTCCGAGTCGAGTCCGAGTCGAGCCCGAGACCAAAGAGAGTCGAGCCCGAGACCAAAGAGAGTCGAGTCTGAGTCGAGACCAAAGAGAGTCGAGTCCGAGTCAAGCCCGAGACCAAAGAGAGTCGAGTCCGAGTCGAGTCCGAGTCGAGCCCGAGACCAAAGAGAGTCGAGACCGAGACCAAAGAGAGCCGAGTCGAGACCGAGACCAAAGAGAGTTGAGTCCGAGTCGAGACCAAAGAGAGTCGAGACCGAGACCAAAGAGAGTCGAGTCCGAGTCGAGACCGAGACCAAAGACAGTCGAGTCCAAGTTGAGACCGAGACCAGAGAGGTTGGATAACCTAAGGTTGGGTCTCAAACCAGACTTAAAGTTATCTTCAAGAATATGTAAAATATTTGGTGGTAACAATGAAATTGGCACCATACTCAAACAATAAACCAAATATACCATTGAATCATGTACACTATAATGGTAAAAAGGCCACATAGTGTTGTAAAGGTAATTTTATTACAGTTATGACTTAAAATTATTACAACCAGTAAGTGCTCTTTCACATTACATTAACACATAACATTCACATCGGTTTTCAAATGTAAAGAATTATCAGTTATCGGACAAAATGTTCATTTCGGTTCGGCTCATCCCTACTTTCCAGGAATTCCTTCATTTTATTGATGTTGTTGAGGCAGACAGAAACTGCACAGATTAAGCCCACGCTCTTTTTTATTTTTAGTAATGTTCAAAAAGACTGTATAATTAATTCAGTCGCTCTTTTTATCCTAGATAACAATGGGTTCCATATGGCGACAGTCAGCATACAAACAGAAGTTAGAATCGATCATGGCAGCTCTCATAGGTTACTCAGGAAAAAGGTGGATATACACAGCTTAATTGTTATTATATATACAGTAAATATATATTTATATGTGACCCTGGATCACAAAGCCAGTCAAAGGTCGCAACAGGTATATTTGAGGCAATAGCCAAAAATACATGGTGTGGGTCAAAATTATTGATTTTTTTTTTTTAATGCCAAAAATCATTAGGATATTAAGTGAAGATCATGTTCCGTAAATATATAAAACGTTTATTTTTGTAAGTAAAAGCAGCACAATCGCAAACATAAATAGACAACTTTAAAGGCAATTTTCTCAATGTTTCGATTTTTTTAAACCCTCAGATTCCAGATTTTCAAATAGTAGTATCCCAGACAAATATTGTCATATCATAACAAACCATACATCAATGGAAAGCTTATTTATTCACATTTCAGGTGATGTATAAATCTCAATTGAACAAAATTGACCCATATGACAGGTTTTGTGGTCTAGGGTCACATACACAGTATATTTAAAAAGCAGATTTTTTGTCAGGTTAGGATAAACATGTATTGCATATGACCTTTGTTGATCATCATCTGTAATATGATGTGTTCAGGTGAGTGTACTGTAATGGGAATTCCCAGCGTAACCACCAATCTATCCGGGTTTGGCTGTTTCATGGAGGAACATGTCTCCGACCCGTCTGAATATGGTGAGTGAATCAACGAGTCGCTGCTTTCCAAGTCTATTTGCGCAGCCTATTAAATGTTTGAATTAATCAATGTTTTAGGAATCTACATTGTGGACCGGCGATTCCGTTCTGCAGACGAGTCGTGTAACCAGCTGACTCAGTTCATGTTTTCGTTCTGCCAGAAGTCGCGCAGACAGCGAATAATCCAACGCAACCGAACGGAGAGACTCTCTGACCTGCTGGACTGGCGATACCTCGGACGGGTGAGTATCTTCTCACCTCTGAGTACTCGGGTGTGATTCACCTTTATTTCATTGGTTGTCTTTGTTTCTCTCTGCTCAGTTCTACAAGCAAGCCAGGCATCTGGCCCTCAGCAGATCCTTCCCTGCTAAATTCAAAATGGACCATCTGAACCTTACACCGGTGAGCCCTGCTAACGCACACACTTTTTCATTCTCACATGCACAATAATGCTCTAGCACTGACAGTGACACTACTTCTAAGCTGTGTGCTTAGTTTCAAGGACATTTATATGCACCATTATTCAAAATTTGGGGTCAGTAAGATTAAAAATAATAATACTAATAATACTTTTATTACGCATGGGTGCTTTTAAATTGATCAAAATTGACAGTAAGGACTTTTACATTGTTTTTCAGTGTAAGAAATAATTACAAAAATCACTCAAATACACCTTTTGCTGAAAGATACGCATATAGGACATCATTAAATCATATCAGCATGGCAGTTTAATGCTGATTATGAGCAAAAACTTTACATCTCTCTGCTCTGTTATTGAATGTACTGTATGACATCTAACACTCCTGAGTGATGAGGATGCCCCTCAGTTGAGCTTCGTTCTTGAGTTTAATTGACAGGATAACATTTACCTGCTCAGGAAAACGACTTGATTCCCATTTGAGCTCAATCAGTTGTTCTACAAATATGTTTTAAAAAGACTACACACACAGAAAGATGTATAAAATCACTGAATCAAAAAGTTTTTTGTTTTTCCATTATTTCAGAATCAGTATGAGTGACTGAATTTTTTTGTTTGCACAGACGCACGGTTTCCGTTACCCGCGACCCTTATCCGTCCCTCCATCCCCGTCAGCTTCCCTCCACTCCACCCCTCACCACAGCGACGAGGAAGATGACGACACCTATGACGAAGACGAGGAGGCCGAGAGGGACAGGCAGAACATCAAGGCTCCTTTCACTCTGGGTGCGGAGCCTGAGGGTAAGGGGGAACAACCGCTGGAAAATGGGAATTAGGATCCGCACAACTCCTGCTCCTGTAGCCCGGGCATATTTACACCTGCTAGCCTTTGAGAATGTGCTACAGCTTTTACATGGATTACCGATATCACCAAATCTTGAACTTACAGTGGCGTTCAAAAGTCTGAGATCATGTCAAAAAGATTTGGGTTACACTTTATTTTAGGGTGTCCTTGTTACAGTGTAAATATGCATTTTATATGATGGCTAGTTGCATGTTATTATGCATCGTTTACTATTATTACTATAGCAAGTACATGTAAAATGTGTAACATTTGCTGTTTAAAATTCTTTATTTTACAGGTACTGTGGTAATAAATATAAATTATGTGTAAGTACATGCAAATAAGCCTCATATAGTAAGTACATGTGGTTAATTATTATTACTTGGTACTTAAATGTATAATTAGACTGTAATACATGGACACTTTAAAAAAAGTAACTAATTCTATTTAAAATGGAAAATGCTGATTACTCATTTGTCATTTGTTTATATCATAATGCTTTACTGATAATAGAGTATGTAATAAAAATATAGAAAAAAACAAAAACATTTTCACTATTAAGTCTCAGACAGTCCACTGTATGAAATATCATTGGTGAGATATTAGTGGGCTATTTTTATTTTTGGTATGTCGGAGCCGTGAGGCTGTTATAGAGAAAATGTAAAACAAAATCGTATGTATTTTCCCCAATAACATACTTTTATATATTTCCAAGAGATGCAAAGTTTTAATAACAACATTAATGTGCAGAAATGTAAAACATCCCATCCATGTTTTGTTAAAAAGTTGGAAATTTGAGTGTCCTTGTTATACGCACTATGTAAATTATGCATAACTACATAAACCAAGCTGTTTATTAATATTGCTTTGAGTTTGTACACAATGGTATAATTGCACTGTAACAAGGACATCTTAAAATAAAGCGCAACCAAAAAATAGTCTCACTCATGGTAGCAGTTATCAGTGCAAATTTAGTTTAATTAATTGAGAAAAAGTTCAGACATTCTCAAATATGTATTTTACAGGCCGTTGATTTAACATGAGAAAAATGAAAAGGAAACAACGAATCTGTACAGAATTTCAATCATCATAAATAGTCTCTTTTCCAAGATGATATGTCTTGAAAAAACAATCCATTATTTCAACAAAAAAGAAATTAAAATGCCTTTGCTCTATTCCTTGTGTTACTTAAATGATCAGTCCAAGTCCACGTAGAACGATCTGGACCCCACATTACTCGAGTGTTACTGTAATAGTGTTGAACATTAAATGATGAACCTTCAGAGAAGTTAAACACGGGCATCATCGTAGCTGAGGGTGAACTTGAAGACATTAAATTTCACATGATTCATATGTAAGAGTGAGTTGTTCGAGCTCTTTTAGCTGGTTTCAGTAAGGCTCACCCTGGTCTCTGGCTTGCTGGAGAACATTTAAGAGAAATGCAGCCGCTTTAGACATGCTCAGGTTTTCTGTGTTTTGGCTGCGTGACTCTGTAGAGAGAGTTTACAGTTTACATTAGCGTTCATGCTGCAGAGTAATTGCATTAGAAGTACACTGTAAAAAATGATTGTTGGTTTAACTTACATTTTCAAAATTTTGACTTAATACAAATTGTTTAATAAATAGAAACCTTATTAAGAGACTAAAGTGAAAAAGTTGTGATAAATCATGAAAGTATTTTTTACATGTATTTACTAGCTCACATTTTGCAAAAATAACAGTTACGCTTAAATTATGAGATATATAATTAATAATTCATACCCAAGCGTATTGTGTCATACAAGTCCCCTTCATTTCTGTCTTCTGACACAAAGCGCCGCCCCTCTATAATAAACGTGAAAAGTTAATTCAAAAGCATATTGAACTAAATGGATCATATATGCAGTTTTAGACACAAATATAGTTAAAAAAACAGCAGTAACTTACGTGTTCCTTTCAGATATAACATGGCTTGGGGTGTCCAATTCCGACGCTGAAAACTGCCCTTTAATAAAAAAATAATATATATAATAAATTATATATATATGCTCTGTTTCATGTAGAACAGAATTAAGTATTATTTAAAAATAAAAAGTAAAAACTAATGACACAAGTAAAATAAATGTTTAGGCAAATTAAACAGTATTTAAAGTATAATACGATGGATCTCATTACCTTGGGCGCACTCCAGGAATGGGACACGAATGTTGCCAGAAGTAAGAGCGCAAGTGCGTACGCCGCAAGAGTCCTTAAATCCTGGAAAGGTGAAGTCATGTTCAAATTGATCATTTCCCATTAGCCTTTTAAAACAGCCTTAGTTATATTGTGAACAAAAGTATGAAAATTCCTAATATTAAAATGATTCAATTCCTGTTTGTCACTCAATTGCTGAAAGTGTTCGGGACGAATGCAAGCATTAATGTGGACTTACTTTCATAGTGTCAGACGTCCTCTTCAGCTGTTGAGTCTCAAAGGAAAGATCAAGAGTGAAGACTGTGAAGTCCGTTCTTGATATTTATAATCATCAGGGTGGGGGAATGTTGAATGAATTAGTCTTCAGCTATAGGTCAAGTCCCATTGATTCACGGCGGGGCCGGACCACAAACCTTTCAGAACCATTAGTTAACCCTTCCTTAAAAATAATAAACCTACATTATTGCTATGACGTTTGAAGACGCACATCTGTAAGTTAAGATGCTTTGCCGAAGGGAAAATTTCATTCATGTGGACTTTTAATAGTAAGTAATGAAAAGAAGAAGGCGGAAAGTATTGATATGTTTACACCTTCAGCAATGAAGCGTCTCAAATACACCAGCTAATCGTTTTTTATGAATGAACAGAGTGCGGCTGATGGGGTTTCCCATATATATAAATATCTGCTGGGCTCTGCTTGTAATTTATGTCTCTTCTTGAAGGGAATAATGGATGAGAAACACCCTTATATATGTATGGTCTCTGAAATAGATGATTACAAGCGACAAATCTCAGTCAAAACTAGGTTGAAGAAGAAAACAAGTCTCATTCCTCACTCACTGTAAAAAAAAGACAAAATACTTTAATGCTTTAATTACCATTCTTCAGATTTCCAAAAGAAAAAATAAAACAAATTTTAAAAAATATTATATATATATATATATATATATATATATATATATATATAATTATATATATAATTTTATTTTAGGGCTAACGATTAATCGCATCCAAAATAAAAGTTTGTGTTTACATAATATGTCGGTGCACTGTGTATAATTATTTTGTATATATATATATATATACACACACACATGCTTGTATATTTAGGGAAAAAATATTATATTTATGTAATATTTAATTTATATATATTTTATATATAAATATAATTATATTTATATATAATGTTTATATATACTATAATATATATAAACAGACATACATTATGTAAACACTAATGGATGCGATTAATCATTTGACAGCCTATATATATATACATACTGTATATATGTGTGTGTACAATTAGTACAGAAATTATTTTTCATTCATTTCTACAGTATACCCCCAATATTTAATAAAGAAATAAAAACTCATATCAGGATTTTTTTCATTTATATTTACAAAAGTTAGTGGCGGCAAAACTTTTTTATTTATTATTCCAATGTTCAGATTTATAGTGATAACAGCTGGAAATGCATTTAAGACAAAGAAAGAAGTCAAAGAACATAATTAATAATAATAATAATAATAATAACAACATCTATGCCAGTCAGATACAAAGTAACAGTTTCATTTAGTAAGAAAGTGTAAATATCACACTTGTGATAGAAAACCAAGAAATTAAAGTCATCCAGTTCTCCTCCATCTTTAAAATACAACTACAGACACCACCGTGTAACAAGGCCATTTTTGTAACAGAATACAGACGTCCAGAAGTCTCTTCTACACATCCAACTAACCTTTCCTCATGGGAGGACACCCGTTAACTTCATGAAGTGTGCGTTTATAAAGTAGGGCAAAGTTCTTCTGGGATGCAGTGATGCTGTCTATAGATCTGGCAGGCGAAGGTGTGGCTTCTTTTCCACGCGGCACAGTTTGCTTCTCGTTGACGGAAATATCTCTCGGTCGTCCTGAATATAAAGCTCCGGTAATATGAGCTCTATACTTTACAAGGCTGTTGTAAGGTAAAGCTTTAGAAAATCCATCATAAATAAGTCGTCAAAAAGAGTCTGTTAAACCATGTTGTTGCTTTCACTCATTTTGTCCACGTACTGGAGAAACGACAACAGAAAATGATGAAAGGATTAGGACGCTTTCAAGAAAAAAATATTATATATATATATAAAATTATGATATCTCATCTGGTTCATGGCACATTTATCAATTAAAATATTCAGTGCACACAGAACGGCATGATTCATGCTCACATGCAAGACAGAATTAGCAGTGACTGACCAAGATGGCTCTCTGTCCGCTCAGCCTTAGGAAGGCTTTAAAAGAACAACAAACACAGGGTGAAAGACACTCGCAAGAGCCTCTTTTCTCACAATAAGGTGAAAACAGGTAGAAATACTGCCCAAAAAAAGTGTTTATCTAAATGCTTGTTATCCAAAACCTATGATCTAGTAATAGATATAAAAAACGTGCACACTTTCGAACGATTTATTTGATCAAAATATATTGTGAAATATTACAATTTAAAATGTTCTATTTTAATAGATTTTAAAATTTATTCCTGTGAATTTTCAGCATCATTACTCCAGTCTTCAATGTCACATGATCCTTCAGAAATAATTCTAAAATGCTGATTTGCAGCTCAAAAAAACATTTATTATTATCAATGTTGAAAACAGGTGTGCTGCCTAAGATTTTTGTGATTTTTGAAAGTTAAATAGAATAGAAATAGAATCTTAGGTTGCTGAATAAAACTGTTAATAATAATACATATTTTTGAAAATATATGAAACAGAATATTTGAAATATATTTAAACAACAATATAACTTGTTTTCAACAATTTGTATTAGATTTAGTGGAAAAAGCCTGTTAGTCTCATAGCTGCTAAAGCAAGCAAAAGCATTTAAAGTGAATTTACATGTGTCCTAACCAGACGTGACATCACAAGTTGATAATGTGTCTGTCCACACTAACAGTGTAAATGCTAGCACAATCACATCCAATCAGAACTGATGACTGCTCATGTTTGTTACAGCAAAAGAGTGTTTTTTTTTATAACTTGTTACTTTATCGCACTGTGCCTGGTTAAAACACGTGTTAAAGGGATAGTTGACTTTGAAATTAATTTTTTATATGTTTTAGCTTGCCTCAATGTCTTTGTTTCCACAGTATTTTCAATTTTGATATTTTTAGGTCAAACCGTTCGTGTCTCAGTCATATAATGGAGGTCTATGGGGTCCAACTCAAAGAGCATGCACAGAGAAGTCCAAATTAAACATGATTTATTGACTCGTAAATGTAAGTACACATTTATGGCCTAAGACACGAAACAAGCGGTTTGTGTGAGAAAACGAACAGTATTTATATCGTTTTTACCTCTTTTAATTGGGGTCCTTTGAGGTGGACCCCATAGACCTCCATTATATGACTGACAGACAACGGTTTGACCTAAAAATAACAAAATTGAAAATACTGTGGAAATTAAGACACCTACATCTTGGATGCCCTTGAGGTAAGCTAAAACATATCAAAAATTAATTTCAAAGTGAACTATCCCTTTAAATTCACTTCAATCGCAGAGGATCCTTGCATAGAAATAAAAGCACGAGAGGAAAAAGTGCAACCGTGCACTCTCCTCTTCATCACCCTGCTGAGTAAAACTCACCCCACTAATGAAGGGAAGATTCAGCATATATCCCAGCACAGGAATCCTCCTGATGAAGCCTATGACCACTGGAAAGAATCCCCTACACATGAAGAGAAGGACAAACACCCGGATATAATCAGCAGTTATTTACGTGGGATCATTTTGAGGTTATCGCCATTGCATTACCATTGATCTAAAATGTTAGTTCCTCATTTTGCCAGTTACAAAGTTGACAGACAGTCCATCTGTCAATTTTGTAACTGGCAAAAAGAGGAACTAACATTTTAATAATGTACATGTGGTCACTCTACATATAGTAGTTTAGGGTCCAATTCTCACTATTACCTATGACTTTTGCCTCAATAAACTCCTAATTACTGCTTATTAATAGTTAGTAAGGTAGTTGGGGATGTAGAATAAGTCATTAATATATGAAGAGTTCAGATGCAAAAGCCTCTAAATGCCAATTGAAATTTTCTTCTTTAATGATGATTTTTATCAAACTTGTATATTTAAGTTCAGTAATTTCACTTAAATAACAATTAATAGGTAATTACCATTGCCATTTAAGTGAAATTACTGAACTTAAATATACAAGCTTGATAAAAATGATCATTCTAGAAGAAAATTTCAAATGGCACTTAGAGGCTTTTGCATCTGAACTCTTCATATGTGCTTTATAAGTACTAATAAACAGCCAATATCCTAGTAATATGCATGCTAACAAGCAACTAGTTAATAGTGAGAATTGGACCCTAAACTACAGTGTCGCCATACATTTTAATATAATATTGTGCGAAATAAGTGTTCATTTAATTTCCATTTTGTTGTCTCGTTTATCTGGATTTAATATCTACAGTATAGCCATTTAAAAAGCAGTCGAACTGTAACATTGGGTAACAGTTTACTTGAAGGGGTGTGCATTAGACTGACATGACACCTTCATAACCATGGCATGACATATTGAATATGAAGTAGGGTTTATGCATGTTTGTGACAACTGTCATTAAGCGTCTTTCGCTCAATAATGACATTTTGAATGCCAATATGACATTAAGATGTCTTTGTTATGACATCTTAATCATAACCTGTCATATTTGCATTAAAAATGTCATAACGGAGCGAATGACAGTTAATGACAGTTGTCACAAACATGCATAAAACATATGTCATGTCATGATTATGAAGGTGTATGCACACCCCTTCAAGTAAAGTGATACCTAACATTGCTAATTAGCTACTAGTTATGTTGAATAATTTGCCTGGGTAAGAGCTTCTTAATCCTGTAAAAACTACCTGAATAGAAGAAAGAAGCCATAAAACTCTAGGACGACTCCGACGATGGGCCACCCGATCAGCACCACCAAGACGCCTCCTAAGAAGAAGCTGGTGGCTTTCATTTTGTGCTTCTGAAAGAAGAACTTGAACGTCCTCTCCAGCCCGATTACGAACGCCAGGCCGATAACAAACAAGATCTGAGACCAATGAAGACCGAGAGACAGGTGAGAGAGAAAGATCTGTACTTATGTATCACAATGAACACAAGTGTTTTTTTTTTTAGCTACTATGAAATGACACTCAATAGCAGGTCAAAGCAGCACAACTGAAGGATATGGACAATGTGTTGATGCCATTTACAACTTGTACAAAAGAAACCGATCTCAGAAAGCAAACAAACGTGTGTAAATATACTATTTATGTAATTGACTGCACACACACACACACAATTTAAATAATATCATTTAATAATAGTTAAGGAATACAAACACGTAAATGTCAAATACATATATATTAAATATTTGAATATGACTATAATGTAACACATAAAATAGTTAGTCTTATAATTGAAATATTAATGACAACATAATAAGGCCACTCACGTTTCCTATGGCAAGAAGGGCTTTATCGAAAAACAGGATCATCCCAAAGAACAGAAAAAACACCCCAAATCCTGTTAGCCCCATTCCAATTTCTGTTGAGAGAGTGAAAGCCATACATTATACTAATATAAAGATATTTAACGGCATTTTAACAGTGTCAATATGTATATAAATAATAGAATTTGCATGAATATGGTAATAGTCTCATTTGTTAACATTGATTAATGCATTATGAACTAACAATAAACATTTCACAGCGTTTATTAACCTTTGTTAGTGATAATAAAAATGTTCATGTCTGCTTACATTGCATAAACTAATGTTAATGTTAACGGATACTACTTTTGATCATAAAATTGTAGTAGTAAATGCCGTAAAAGTATTGTTTATTGTTAGTTCATGTTAACTAAAGCAGTTAACTAATCTTAACAAATGAAAACCTTATTGTAAAATGTTACCAATAATATTTATTATATGTCACAATGTCCTATATCATATGAAATTGTGTAGATAGGATTGTTCTGTCTTAATTTAACTAGTCACTGTCAACATTAAACATTTTAAGGCCGAATATTGTTTTTGTCTATTTCCAATTACTTTGATATATAATTTTGTTTACAATGTAAAAAATGTTTTAACGATATGTGAAATACGCATGAGAAAAAAAAGAATTAACAATGAATAGTCGTTTAACTCGCTTTCTTATTTATTGGATGTATAATAGTATTAAGATGCATTTTTATTTTTTTTAAAAACAGAAAAAAACGGTTTGTATTTTGGTAAACTTACATTTATTATATAAATTAGCAAAGAAGATAAAACTTATAACAACAAGGAAGCAGTATTTTTAGTAGAGTCAGAATCAAAGAATCCAAATATTGTCTTTAAAAAAGTATTTATCCATCTTGCCGGATATTATCATTAATAAATGTGTCTTCCAATGATTTTATGTTAGACGTATTACTAGTGTTGTGACAGCTGATCGCACCTGCATAGTGTATTTACTCATATAAACATTAAGACAGGCGGAATTATAAACAACAGGCTTTCTAGATGAATGCACTGACAATAGACGTTGTCTTACGAGAAGCTGTCAGTGAGACAGGATTTATTATTCTTACTCTGAGAGTCGGTGAGGGAGATCATCTTTGCTCGAGCAGCTCTGCTGTCACCCGGCCACGAGTACCGGAAACACTCACTCTCAACATCCGGAGAAACTTTACACGACAAAAAATAATGCATTTCGTATTAATTTAATACTTAGAAAAACTACGTCAAAACACACTACGTTAAAAAAAATAAACTAAAGCATTTTAAGAAATTTACGCTCTAAAAAATGCTGGGTTGTTTTTTAAACCCATGTTTGATGCAACTATGGACAAATCCAACCGTCGGTTTAACATTTTAAAAATCTAAATTATTTGTTGTAAAAAAAAATTATATATATATATAATAGTTTTAACATAAATAAATGTAGAGTTTATTTGTTTATTTTTGGATACTAAACGCTGTTTACTTCCGTGTTTACTGCTCCATCTGGCGGTCGTTTTCGTTTTTCTTTTTTTTTCAAACAAAACCACACTTTTAAAATTAGAGGAACTTTCTACATTGTTAATAGCACAGACGTTTTTCTATGGCTCTGGTTCAAACTTCAAGCCTTTTGACGTGTCTGTGCAATTCATGACCGTTCTATGTTTATAACTTTTGTCTGATGGATAGTTTCATATGAGAAGATAAACAATCTTAATTTTATTTTATTTATTTTTTTGGTCAAACCCCGTGTTTCTCTGGTGTATTTTATTTTACATAAATTAGTATCCATTATACAATTTCTTCATTTTCTTATACCTCTGAAGTCTTATCTAAATTTAAAAAAAAAATGTAAGTATTACTAGCAAATAACACCACAATGCAGAAAATGAACAACTTACAAATGGCATTTTACATAATCTTTATTACATTATAGTATAAAGAAGCTTTTGAAACATGCTTCCTTAATTTGTTTTGAACAACTGATTTTTATGTGCAGCTTCTATTTGTCCAACAATTTGCACTGCAAACATGTTGTTTCACAATAAATAGAGAAAACTACATCAAGGTACTGCAAACTGATGTTGTTTTAACTGGCAACATTTTACATTGGGTTTAATATTGGGTAAAAATATATTAATTGATAATAATCCCACAGGTAACAGAATATCAATCAGGTTTAAACAAATATAACCTGATTTGAGAGAGGGAGTACAATCCAAAATGCAGAACACGTCAACGTTCAAAACAAATGGGATTTAGAGGCACTGTTTGAGAATATACTGTGCATCTCGAAGGCTCTTTTGTTCATACCTTAACAATAATAGCACATACTATATATGATATGCTTGTTCTTAAATGACCCTCCACCTTAAGTTAATTATAATTAGCCATGTGATATTTCACTCTGGGCCAGGGGGTTTCTTCTTGGCTTCCACGTCCTTTTTAAAGGCCTCGATTTTCTTTGAAATGTTGGGTACCTTGAAAACAAGTTATAATTAAGTTAGTCATTGATCACTAAACAGTAGAGCTTTTTACTACGTGTGGTTTTTTAGACAAACACAGACAAAATCAGACAGTTAATGTAAATAAATATTATTTTTTACAACCTCGTAGTTCTGTGCCAGATACATGCCAACCACGTTCCCCAGAGTAAAGCCAAGCTGGAAAAACAAGATATGACAGGTAAATACTTTCTTTCATTGCAAAATATCCGGCTGTTTATTTTAACTAAATGTTTATCTGAGAGAATCTAAGAGACTTAACGTTAAGTTAGTTAGCTACGGTTAGCTAATTCAATGCGAATTAGCAAGCTACTAAACAAACATATGTAAATACTTACAATGAATTGCATCATGATTCCAGAAATTTGAAATTATGTAAAAACTAAAGTTACACTGATCCCGAAAGTTATGATGGTCGTTTGACACGGCTAGCCTTGAATTAGCTTCCTATGTCGTTAGCATGACAACACAATCCGGAAGTAATATTCATACAAAATAAAAGTCTTAATGTTTAAGTGAAAGGGTACAGAAAATGCTTAATGCCACAAAAACAAATAAATACATATAAGATTGTGATTCAACTATTAATATTATTTCCCCAAAACATTTAGAATTTTGAAGTAATAACAAATTATTAATTTAATATAAAAGAAAATTAAAGGCTATGCCAGATGAATGCTACAATAAATATAAGTTTTCACACTTTATTTTATTATATTTTTTTAGTGCTTGTCACACTACATATATTGTTTTGTTCTTATAAGGTTCTTACATACATCTGGAAAACAATACATTTTTCAAAATTGTTAAATTGAAGGTCTGTCATGTTTTTATGAAAATGGCTTTTCACACAAAAATGTCATTCATTCACTTTGTCACAAAAAAAAGAAAGAAAAAGAAATCCCAAGCAATACAAGGTTCTTGATAATAGGTAAAGTAAAGCTATCAACAATTTAATTATATAACATTATATAAGACAATCCCCTTAAAAGTTTTATTAATAAAATAAACATGCTTGTAACCAAAGCACAATGACATACAAAACTAATCCAAATGTTGATGTCTAAAAGGGAAAAAAAGGAAAACAAATAATCATGCAGTCATAATTATATTAAATGACACTACCAGGACCAAAAATGTTCAATTTAACTATTGTTCAAATATTCTTGTCAGAGTTCTTGATTCTCCCTCTTTAAGTAATTTCAAGTTTCTTCCATTTCAAAAAAATTTTTTTTCAAATATAAATACAGTTAGCAACTGTAATACAATACTTTCAAAAAATGTGTACCAAACACAAAGTATAATTTCACTTAGTCACCAATGGATTTTAAAATGCTCCAAACATATTTTTACTGTCGTAGAATCTGGAAATGGGATACAACATACACAGGTATCTCTAAACGGATATAATAAATGCACATTCTCAAATGTATGTAAATTGTCTATGTAAATACATTGGGTTCATTTGGCTATGTCTTTAACAGCTGTATTCATATATATATATATATATATATATGTCTTGCACCTAAATAATATGTAACGACTGTATTTCTATTGCAGTAATACTGTCAAGTTAAAACTACAGTTAGAGATATGCAAAAAAAATTTACTTGGAAAACAACATAGTTTGTTTGTAGCATCATAAAGAACGAAAATCCATACTTTTTCATTTTAAGCACCATACCACATAATTGTTCTTAATTTTTTTAATTTTTTTTTTTAGTTTCTTCAGTCTTCTTTGTGCAAGAGTGAATCCCTAGAATCAATCATCAAAGAACTCCCTTGGAAACACGTCTGGGTATGATAACGGGGAACAGAACAAGCATCCTTGTCTATTTGGACTCCAGTGGGCTGCTGGCTGAACCCTGTGTGATCCCATTTTGCAGAGTTGGTTCTTGCGTGTTGATAAAAAGTAGATTCTTCAGGATGCTTGCGTAGAAAGGACCGTAAACCTTTTTGTTGAAGTTGACTAGGTTGACAAAACTGACCCCCAGTCCCATGAGCTCCTGCTGGATCAGACCCAAGCCTGGCGGTACGGGAGGGGGTGTCCTGTGAGAGTTGGTAGAGGAAAGGACCACCCTGAAGTAGATCTTTACCCTTCCCTCTGTGGGACAGAATAGGCACATTAAAATGATACAGGCTTCAAGGAAATATGAGTTTCGGGGATCGACTTATCGAGACTATTTTCTAAGATGGCTCCTGTCTGTATACAACAAGAGTGCTTACCAACAAGAGTGCGTATTGGGTTGTTTTCCTGGGTGATGTCACAGATCTGGCCCTTTAGAGTTGCCTGCAGTTCAGTCGAGAGGGCTGGGAGGTTTCTTTCAGCCAAAGACTTGCTGACCTCAGAGCAGATCTGAGCGCTGACGTTACTAAGAGCTTCATTCAGGTTGAAGTCTCTGTAAGCCAAATAGATAGAAAACAAAGGCGACTGAAAAGATCTTTTAGATTGACACCTTCATTACTGCATTACATTTATGTAGAAGTGAGCAGAGTTTTGGGGGAAGGACACAGATCTGACGTACGCTCTATGCATGCCCTCCAGCAGCACTGCTGTCATCTTCTTAAGTCGCTCGACAAGAGCGGGCAGGCCCGACACGGCTCCTCCTATTGAGCTGTAGACTATCAGCAGAACAGACGCAACTTTTTGATACAGCTGAAGAGAGCGCTGCATCTCCTGCAACCTCGATTCGTCTGTGATTATAGTCTGCAAGTGGAAAATACAGGCTGTTAGATCATAAAAAGCATTATGAATTAGATATCAAAGCTCATATGATAAGTGTGTGTTTGTGCTCCAACCTCAGGCAGAGGGCCCTTGTTCTCGTCCCAGGTCAGAAGACTTATGTAGGCAGTATCTAGCACCAGTGTGGGCCCTGGTAAGGGTTTGCTGCTCTTCTGTGTTGGTGGCATGACTCGAGTGGCCTCCTCTATTGAGGATCTGATCCACTCAGTTGTGTGGTCCAAAGCATCTGGGGGAATTACAATGATGTCCAGGGTTAAGAGCCCAGATGTGCGAAAACTATCCATTTAAATGAAAGTTCTGTCATCGTTTATTCCTCCTTCCAAACCTGTGTGACTTTGTGGATCGCGAAAAGAAGATATTTTGAAAAATATGTCGTTTGATTGTAATATTACCTGTATTAAAAATGGCCACCAGTAAGTTCAGTAATAGAGTAAGTATACAGAGAAAAATTAAAAGATCTAACCTTACCTTTCATATCATTTTACAGTAAAATCCTGCAAAATGTACCAATTTTGGAAGTAAAAAGATGAAATCAACTTATAATTAATAGTGAAAAGTGTAAACTGGCATTCCCACAATTCCCTGTGACACTTCACATTTGATGGTGTTTTTAATTTGAATAATTATGTTCCTGCTTATGGAAGCGTATTGTATTCACTTAAAGAAAAAACATCTACTCTGTTTTTCTGAATTAATTATCTCAGACTTACGAGATAATTTTTCATGGAAAAAAGGTTTTTGCTCTGTTTTTTCTGAATTAACGAGTTAATTTTCTCAGAATTACAAGATAATTTTTCATGGAACATTTTTTTACTCTGTTTTTCTGAATTAATGACTTGATTATCTCAAAAACTCTGTTTTCCATGAAAAATTCTCATAATTCTGAGATAATTAACTCGTTAATTCAGAAAAACAGAACAAAAACTTTTTTCCATGAAAAATTCTCGTAATTCTGAGATAATTAAATAGTTAATTCAGAAAAACAGCAAAAAAAAATTCCAAGAAGAATTCTCTTAATTCTGAGATAATTAACTCGTTAATTCAGAAAAACAGAGCAAAACCTTTTTTTCCCACGAAGAATTCTCATAATTCTGAGATAATTAACTCGTTAATTCAGAAAAACTGAGCAAAATCTTTATTTCCATGAAAAATTCTCGTAATTCTGAGAACTCGTTAATTCAGAAAAACAGAGTAGATTTTGTTTCCTCGAGTGAATGCGAAACGCTTCTGTACCTGCTTAATTATCAGTTATAAATTAAGATTTTATGTTCCATCTTATGCTGTTAAATGAATGTTTATTGCATTATTATGAGTCCATTGTTGCTTTTATCTTTACCACCAGTTTTATTATAGTGGATGTCAGTATAAGTTAAAAGTATAAAACAGATTTGAGTAGGAGCATGGCCTTGCTAATTCAGCAGAAAAGAAGGCTATTGGATATACTGGTATAAAGTGATTTTTTTGTATGTTTACATTTTTACTGTACCTTTACAGAATAATTTTGGCAACCACAGCTTCCAGTTTTATTCTCTTTACAGCAGCGTACGGACAAAAACATTCGAAACATCTTCACAACATCTCACACAGGTTTGGAATGACACATGGGTGAGTAAACGATGACAGAATTGTCTTTTTTTTTGTTGTTGAGAGAACTATCCATTAAAATAATTTGAATCTTGGTTTAGTTTGTGGGACTTACTGGGAGTTCTTTCCAGAATGCTCTGAAACTTGGCTCTCTCATACTCTACCGACTGCCTCTGAAGCTCTGGCCTTAGGCTCTGGATGGTAAAATTCACCATGTCCATTTTCATCAGGTCCAGCACCCGGAAGATCTCCCTTATACAACACAAGTTGCCATTTAAAACTCATTTATTTTACCTCCGGCGATTATGACTGTTAGTGATGAGAACGCCATTACTGATGAGTGTCCCAGTCTCACATCACCCTCAGTTCCTGGGTCTCATTCACTAATAATTGCGTGGATCATTTGCATTTTGTATGCACTGGACAACTTATCACGAAAAATTCACAGCAAGTTCTTATGCGCACAAATTTCGTTCTAATGTTATTACATTTGGAATATTCTAATATGTAATCTAATATCTTATGTAAAAAAAAATTCAATTTTTACAAGAACACCACCTTTAGTATGTGATTTTTACACATGCATGGTTTCAGTTCCTGTTTTAATTGGTGACTCATGAATTGTTTCTAAAAGTGTACGTACACCGATTTCATGCAAAAATTTGTCGATGCATGGTTAGTGAATAGCAACCATTATTTGTCTTGTTGTTATACCAACCAATAGGCTCTAAAGCAGGGATGCCCAACCCTGCTCCTACCATCGACTGTCCTGAACAGTTTATCTCCAACCCTAATCAAACACACCTGAAGCAACCAATTAAGGTCTTCAGGATCACTTAACATTAAAGGCAGATGTGTTTGATTAGGCTTGGATATGAACTGTGCAGGACAGTCGATCGGCAGGAGCAGGGTTGGGAAATTTGCCTAGTTTTGCAAATGAATACAGAAAGAGCGCTCGAACATACTTGAACAGTTTCACAACGTCGCTTGAGTTCTCCTTAAGCTTCTTGATTTCATCGTCTCGGACCGGCGCGCAGAACTTGCCCATAGTATTGATGATGTAAGACTCAAGGCCCTGGATATCAACTACATTGTTGGCAGCCTGTTGGCGGATCAGGTCCATGTCTAGAACCTCCATAATCTGAGTACGCAGGCGGTTGGCCCCGGGGTTGAGGAAGGACAGTAGGATCTTTTGAAGTTAGGAAAAAATAAGTGATCAACAAATCGTTACCATCAGACCGTTTTTCACCATTTTATCAGAGTGAATGTGTCACCTACATCTCTGATCTCTTCCAGTAGTTTGATGGCGTGATCATACTCAGGGGGGTCATCGTTCAGCTCAGATTCAAGAGAGTCCCAGAAGGCCTTGTGCACCATGTCCTTAACCATCTTATGAAGGCTTGAGGACAAACAAAGGTTTGGAATAATTTGTTTTATATTTATTAATTATGTTAATTTTAAAATGCTTAACAATGCTGCATAAATATATTGACTAAATCTTTGAATTGTTTATTTCTTGATCATCACCCAAACATCAAGTGGGTCTCAGGTCTGGAAATTATAAATTAGTCTAGTACCTGTTTTGAGGTAGATCTGGAGGCTCAATGTGGAAGTTTCGGTTGACTACGATCTCATGAGCCAGGCTCAGATTAGAAAGGTCCCGGGCCGAGGCCATGACCTCGTCAAGCGTTACTGGTTTTGGTGGGCTGCCTGAAGACACAGTGGGAATACAGGTTAAGAGACCATTTATTACATATACACTATGAACGAAAACAAAAATATATTTAGATGTTAAAATTGTTGACTAAAACTAAGAAATACAATTGTTTTTGGTCAGTGAAATCAAGCTAAAACAAAATACAAATATCAGAAAAACTTGAGTTGAAGTACTAAATTGTTAAATCAAATAAATTGAAATATATATAAAAAAAAACATGCAACAAAATGATTTGAAAGAAATTTAACTAAAAATTCAAATAGAATTTGAAAATATAAAAAATAAGAGCTAATTCAATATATTCATAAATACTATAGGCTGTTAGTTATAAATACTAAAATAACATAATAAAAGTTAAGCTCCTTCTGTGATAAATCAGTGTCAAATAAATCTACACAAATATGATTTACTTGCTTATGCATTTGCATTTTAGAGGGACACCTACAGGAAGGAGAGTTGTGTTTGCTGGACGAATCGCTGGTGAAGCTCTGGCGAGAAAAGTCCACGTCGCTGGACGAGGTCAAACTGTCGCACCTTCCCGACGACTCGGTGTCGCTGCTCTGCTCCTCACTGGCCACCGTTGACGTGGAAGTGGGACGTTCATCATTCAGTGGCATTGTGAGTGACTGCTGCAAATGCATTAATAAGGTACAATGTAACATACACAATGGCTTAATGCTAGATGCTGGATGAGCTGGCACACTTTAAGTGCTGGAAAATTCCACAAGAACATAAAGCTTCGTTGACATAACAAAGAAAAGTGAATTGCAAAGGCTAGAGAAAATAAAAGGGCAACAAAATGGCTCATGCGGGTATTCATCCACAAAAGGGACATTGTATTTTAAATGTGATTCAGACGTTGAACAGTGCCGTCTCTTGGGTAACAGATAACGCCTGATAGCAGCGTGATCTTTAAAAGCAAACGTATCTTGTTACACTCCTTTGCCTTTATAAGCTCCACTACACACCTGTTTCCTGAGGTAATTGAGTAACTGCTAGTCTTTTAAGCTTATTCAACTCTTGTACATGTTGAGTCAGCATCAGGAATCCCTTCATTAATTAATAAAATGCATTTGGATAAGCTAGTGACTAATCATACCTATTATGTGATGCTTTGACAAAACTGATTGCTTAACTATTGTTTATACAAGTTTACCTATTACTCATTTGGATTAATGCTGATACAACAGAATGGTACTGTAAAACAACAAAAGTAATCTGCACATTTTGAGAATGTTAGTTAAAGGAAGAGTTTATCCAAAAATGTTTATCTTCATTTCCTCACCCTCATGTTGTTCCAAACCTTTCTTCTGTGGAACACAATCTCAGTCACTATGGAAGCTTGTTTCCGCCACACTGAACCCATTTTTATTTTATTTTTATCCCTCGAAATTTAGGAAGTTTTTTGACTTTATAACTTGCAATTGCAAACTTGTCTCTCACAATTCTGAGAAAAGATGTCAGAATTGCGAGAAAAAAAGTCATAATTGTGAGATGTAAACCCGCAAATAAGAGAAAAAAATGTCAAAATTGTGAGACAAAAAGTTGCAATTATCTTTTAAATTGTTTTATTCCGTGGAGGAAACAATTCACCATGTTTTTCGTTGTCTAAAGTCAGTGAATTTTGTGTTTCACTGAAGTAAAAAGTCATACTGGTTGAAAAAGCTAAAATCAAAATCAGATGAAAAATTATAGACTAAAAAGTAAAATTACTATACAACTAAAAGTGAAAAAAATACAAATTAAATTCAGATAGAAATTTGAATAAATCATGTCAAAAGCACAGAAAAAATAGAATTAAAATGAAAACTGGAAATATGAAAATAGATCATTCAAAATTAAATTATACTGCTCACTGAATAAAAAAAATGCTTTCAAATGTTTTTGTCCCTTAATAATAAAGTAAATATAATTTATTGAAATGCTCACATTGTTTATTTAGTTTTCATATAACGTTAAAACCATAATGTCGACTTCACCACGCAAAAAAGGGTACTTGTATGATCTGTGTGCCTCAACTAAGTTTATAACAATCAACACAGTAACAAATACCAGTGTTTAGAGCCCAATGAATGACATAACATGCTCAACCCCTTCCATTCTTGTTACTCTCAAAAGAGAGCATCTGTTTTCAGCGTGAGGGGAAAACACTGCGACCTTCTCTTGTATATAGACCCGTTCAGTAGTTCGCATGGTTAAAACAGGAAGCCATGCACATATATACATCCTCAGTCAGGTTTAAATTGGGAGGCACCGAGGACAGCACCACTGGTATCGGTCACGGCTCGTGCAGATTTGGACCCTAAAAGGAGGTGCAGTAAACAGCGCGAGACACTGCGCTCAGCTGCGATGCCCACGTGACCTAATCTTCAGCACACAAACAAGGGCAAACAACGAGCAGACTGTCAAAGCAGCCGAACTGGACTTCCAGATCACGCAAAACCCCAGTTCGTTTAAATATGTGCAACGTGGCTTTAATAAACTGTAACTTTATGGATTGAATGTGAAATAAATATGTATAAATAAGACGACGTCAGCGCGTTTGGTCATTTAAAAAAGCGAACTACGCAGCAAGATACGTGTTCCACTTGTGGTAATTTTTCAATGATACTTGATTATAAACGCATAATAATCAATTTTAGTTAATTATGTAAACATAACCATTGTCCAGCTCTTTGGATTTACCAAGAAATATCACTTATATAAAAACTCTAGACAGATAAAACTAACTGTTATATGTAACAATTACCTGAGTCAAGTCCCCGATAGTGGAGACTTGGCAAACAACAGTGGACAACCGAGCTTTTCTCGATTTGTAGATGAAATATATCGATACTCCTTCTCTATGAGACTTTAAAGGGCTCGTTAAAATGACTTGACTTGTACTGTTTTGTGAAACAGGGATAATCTATTATTATGCAGCTATAGGGGTTTCGACGTTTTGTCTTCGATAAAAGATTAAAGCTAATGTGAGAAATTCACATACAACCGGTAGAAAGTGAAACTAAACAAAAGAAGAAGAATGGAAAAGTATTGCTTTTATTTAAAAGTTTTATTTTTTTTTCAATAAAACAAACAAAGAATCCCGACAATGTCGGATGTAACTAGACTGATGCTCACCCCCTAGTAACATATTGGTACAGCCCAGCTTGCATGAGCTTCTTTGTTTACGGATGTGACGTCAAGTACATTAAACGCTTTTGTAGTCAAAGCGAACTCCTTTGCAAAGTATCAAAACATTAAACCGTAATTTATTGTCGACGAATGTACGCGGCAGTTTTATCCGAACGCTTTGTTTCTGCTCTGATTCTGTCGACAACGTTAAACGAGTTCGATCTATGTTTGATCCCTCCCACCGAGCATTACGTTTTGTTATCATTCAAAAGACTCAAAATCATGATGATGTTATTATTCAAAAGACTAAATCACTTCCTGAACCTGATTATCAGATTACAGAAATCATCACGAGTATTAAATTATCATGCCAAACTCCGTTGAGGTTTTTATTAATGCTTTAGTCAAAAACCGTGTTTACATGAGCGTTGAGAGCAAGATACTCAAACAGAACCATGGTAACTAAACAAACAGACATTAACCCTTCAGTGACTGGTTTATTTGAAAATATTATACAGTGTTTCAATACACAAGGCTAGGAAGTTACTACTCATTGCAAAAGAATAAAAAACAACAAGGCAGTAAAAATCGTAAAAAGATCAGTATAAAAAATAAATACAATCAAAATGTGTAAATCCGACTATTATCTATTACAACTATTATCAAAACACACAATAATATAAGTATTAAATTAAGACAAAACACATATACAAACACTAAAGTCATGATATTATCACCGTTTTTAATCTTTCTAAAAAAAACAGGTGAAAAGCCTTTTCTTTGCATTTCATTTCTGGATCCCATTAATCACGAGCAGAATTCACAGCCTTTACTGTCCTGTTGTTTATGAAGTGAGTTTTCCTGTAACCAGCCTGCCATAGATTGAAAAACAGATGATAAGAGTAAATATATAATGACGTGAAAGTCAAAATCTGAAACAATAACATTTGAATTCAGTCGAGCGCTCTATAGATCAGTGGTTCTCAACCAGGGGCACCAGCAAACTTCCAAAGATGATTAATTGCATTCATTTCTTCATTGTAAACACTGTTAATATTTTGTGTAGATGCCCTAAACTGATCTTTGACTGTTATACTGTAGTTTGCTTATTTATTTGCTCCATTCCTTCATGGACACTATGAGATGCAAACATGTCGTAATCTCACCTTCTTTAAACTGCTATGCAGCTCTGAATGTCTCCACAGGGTGTGAAGTAAAATACAGGCCGCTTGACCCGCCCGCGTGGGTCCAAACCTATATTTAGTTGAAAATTAAATGTATAAATTAAAAAAGTCATATAACTGAACATACATGACTTTTATTGTGAGTTTTAGTACCCGTTGTCTTTGGTGCTGATCCTGATGATCTTGGGTAACGCTCCTTGGTCTATGATGGCAGTGGTGTTCAATACAGACGCATTGCTCAGATTGATGAGGATGTGACATATCGTCACGGTTACCTCTATTGGCTGCTCCACACTTCGGTCAGTGTTTGGGAGGATGGTAACCAGCTCCGGCAGCACCTGTTTAACTGTAGAGATGTTCATTAGCTTTTTATCCCTGAAAAAACTGCTATGTGCCGTTTGAGTATATTGGTAGCTCACCAATATCAGCATGCAGTTCGTGGTAGCGAGAGATGTTTTTTAGCAGACACACAGATATTCTGATCTCTTCCTTCTCTCCTTCTTGAAGCATCTTCTTCACCTGAGATAGGCCTCCCTCCTTTTGCACGATGAAGTGTGCGATGGCCTGGGACATCTAATGGGGATACAAAGACAATTAAAAAATTGAATTAAAAAAAAAAAAGAGGGGAGGCTGCCTTTCATATAATCTGAATACAAGTTTAGCTTTTCATGCTGCCAAGTACACTGCAAAGTTTCTTGATTGACAACCGCATTTTAATAGCGATTGTATTGGAAACCCTGTTGATTGACACTGATAACCAATGGACGAGTCAAAACAGGACTTAATTCAACAGTTTTTTGCTCTGGTACGGAAATAGTTGGTAACGATAATCGTGAAATTTTACTGTTATTGGGTCCTTCTACTGAAATGTTTGTACCGTGACAACTCTAGTCAGAGTTTTGAGTGAATAGACTTTCAATGGAGGGACAGAAATCTCTCAGATTTCATTTAAGAGATCTTCATTTGTGTTTGGAATGAAATGAGAGTGAGTAATTGAGGAAAGGTTTTCATTTTTGGGTGAACTAAGCCATTAATCTAAGCCTGAATGTAATTGTAGTCAGTGCTCATTATAGTTGATTTCCAGATCATACCTCTCCAGAACAAGCGGTGAGGTTCTGCAGCGCTCCAATGGACGCCTGTTTTGTGTGTTGGTTTGTGCTGACGGCAATGAGAGAGAGATACATGCGGATGGTGATGGCGCTCCAGAGCCACTCCACACCATTAGGGCTGCCTTTCTCCTCGAGAAGAGGATAGTCTGTATCTGCTTCCTGAGCCACAACACATGAAGAGGCCAATTTGTTTATCTACATCACTGTCTTTGCATTAGGAATGGGTATTTTGGTCAGTCTTACACTCAATATACAAACTATCATCAGCTATATTATTAAATCAGCCAAGTTTGAATTTGAAATCTTTTATTTATTTAATCTAAGTTGTAACACTAACCTCCTCAAAGTTTTTGGGACTGTTGAGAATGAAACAGCCTTGGTTGATAGTTTCTGCTTTGAGATTCTGTTTGGGCTGTTGTATCAGCGGGGAATCCACACAAGGCACCTCACATTCAAACCGATAAGAAAGGTTGTGCAGGATGCACACACAGTTTTCTGTGGCCTGGAAAAGAAGAATTAATCATTAAGCTGGAATAATCGATAATAAGGTATTTGGGAACAAATGTAACATTGAAGTAAATCTAGACACATTTGTGCCACAATGCGAGTGTTCAGAATGAGTTGTTTAGTAGCTTAGTTTCAATAATCATTTTTCCGCTTTTGAAAATGTGCTCTGAAAGCTATAAGAAGTTTTAATGTACAGGTACATCGAGCTCTTTTATCTTAAAAGATCAAGGACAATTGGATTCCTTGTGATATGACCTCTTTAATAATTAGACTTAAAAGTGAAAGACTTAGTGTTGCTGTTGCTAAAGATGGGGATTTAATGTAAGTACCTTTTCATCAGGTTTATAGTCTGCAATGGTACCACGGATATAGTAGATGATGCTCTCAATGAGACCCTCACAGTCCCGCATGGCTTTACGTCCATCTGGACCAGCTGAGCTCAAATTTCTATATGTATATAAAAAAAGATTTGTCATTTAAAAACGCCTTTTATGGAAAAATGCAATGCAAAGTGCACTGATCTGAATAAATAAGTATCTACACTAAAGTTTAAAAGTTCAGGGTCAGACTTCTTTTCTAGTTTTTGAAAAAAAAGTCAACCGTAAAAACAATTTGTGAAATATAATTACCATTTAAAGGTGCCATATGTAATAATTGAGGTAACAATATACGAAAAATGAGCTACACGCATCAAAAGAATGAGAAGAAATAAGTGCAAAGATGTCATTAAAAAACTGACAAGTTATAGTGCTGCCGAGATATTAACCTGAATTAGCATGCTAAATTACTAGCCCCGGCCCGGCAGGTATCGTAATACCAGTTCCGGCCATGGGAGGCGGTATGCGGACGGGCAACGTTAGCACCAGCCAAACTGCAATACGCGAGTGAGTCGCGCTCACGCCGGCTTGTGTGTGTACTTGAACCTGATGTCAGTCGTGTGGAAATACAGCCCATTACTACATTTCAGTTCAGGGAAGAGTTCAAAAAATGATTGGTCGACATTATGCATGAGGAATACATTTTGGTAAGTTGTAGCATACTGTATCTTTCAACAGAGTTCATGTTCTTTTTCCAGCTAGTAGAGACGATCGGTTCACGTGCTCTAGGGATCTGTAGTGTAACATGTACAAGCGCCAAAACGGTATTTATTCTTTGAATTGCGTAATATAATTGACAGAATCTGAGAGCTTAACTAACCTGCTTGCTAAGTGTCAATTGCGTGTGTCTCACGGTGAATTCACGGCGCTAGCTTGATCAACATCAGCGAATGCTGTCTGTCAAATTAATTCACTAACAATAAAAGTGTAATATGAACAAAACGAATACCATAAACTTCAAATAATTGCCCAAGCTTTTATTTTCCCATACCGTCGAAATGCACCAGCTTGTTTTTGAGATCTATGAGGCGGTCTTCATCATTTAGTGTTGAGATTCATAGTGTTTAGTTTAGTTCACTCTAGTGTTTAGTTCATTGAGTCTCTGATCTCTAAAAATCTCCAAATGTTCCACGTGAAACTGCGGTCTTCCAACCTTTTACTATCATGTCAAATGATTTGAATAACATGCGCGATGGTAGGAGCACAAGTCATTTTTTGGAGGTATACTGCCCCCATCTGTTATGGAATATGGAGTAGGATTTGATTTATGATGTTAGATGGCACCTTTAAAATAACTTGTGTATCTAAATATAATTTAAATGTGACTCCAGTCACATTATCCTTTATTCTAATTTAAAACTAGGGCTGTCAAATGATTAATCGCGATTAATTGCATCCAAAATAAAAGTTTTTGTTTACATAATATATGTGGGTACACTGTGTATAATTATTTTGTGTGTGTATATATATAAATACACACACACATGCATGTATATTTAAGAAAAAATATATTTTTTTATATCAAAAATATTTATATTTATATATAATATAAATTCTATATAATTTTATATACAGTGTACACATGAAAATATTAGTTAAA